AGTATCTTTCCTCTTAGCCTTTCATTGTCACCTCCCCCCACCCCCTAATGTGTTTCCCCTCATCTCTTATATTTTGCATATATGAAGTTAGATGTTAATGCAAGCAGTTTTAAAATGGGCTTGGTGACGTTTGTGTCATCACCATGACAGGTACAGGTGGCGGCTTGTCCAAGGAGGTTGACACATATGAAGCACACACCTGCAGCATGAAGTATACTGCAGCCTCAGCTCCCTCAGTCCCTAGCAGTGCCACAGATGTACAAGAGCTTGGCTGACATCAAGTCAGCCTAGCCATTTTTGAGCTAACCAAAGCTTATTAACTGCTATTCAATGCCTGAGATATGCTTTTTCGTTATTATGCAGCAATAGCAGACATACCACAAAGGAGTAAAGGCTAGCAAACCAGCTAGGGAATAAAGGGACCTACCAAACTGTGTAAAAACTTGGCATCTACATGCATGAGTGGTTTGTAGAATTGTCTACACTCAATGGTTGAATCTTCTAGAAGTCAGGTTTCTTTCTTGTCAAAAATCCCCAATGATTCTCTCCTATGGAAGTCTACAATAGATATTCTTTGTATCTTACAGAACTCACCTTCACTCACCCAGTGTGCCTTTATAGGGGATCTCGTATTGTCTATTCCTCCAAATATTTGTATGGTGATTTCATTCCACATTTCTAAATGTCATATTAATGCAGCCTTGATTAATCAAAAATACTATTTCTGTATTTTTCAATTGCATTTGTCAAACGTCAGATTTTGTCTTCTTGGTGAAATAAGGAAAATTGTCCATTGCTGTATTCCCAGGACTAAGAACAGTGCCTAATATGTGGCTAATATGTGCAGAGCAACTGAATATGTAGTTAATATGGTACATGCTCTCATATGCAGAAGCTAGACCTAAAATACATCATAAAGTACACAGGACCCTAGGCATTCAGTGAGACCAAAGGAAGACATTCTTAGGGGTACTGTGGCTAAGTTGTAGAGTGCTAGCCTTGAAAACAAAAAACAAAGGGGCAGTGCCCAGGCCCTGAGTTCAAGCCCCAGAACTGGGATGGGGGTAGGATGTAGGATGTTGGGGGAGAAGGCTATAGGCATATGCCAAATATTTCTGTATTTTGAAGTTATGAGATCTTCATGTTTTCCAAATTTTTAGTTCATAGGAAAATGCTCATTAATCTGAAGTACAGTTAATAGCAACACAAAAAAATAGTACATGCACATGTAGCTCATGTGTGGGCATGAGGGGCAAAACTATATTCAGAATATAGCTTCAAATGAAATCAAATTCTGAGATGTCACTACGGTGTAGAAGCAGTTATGCAATACATACAACACAGGTACAACTATGTTCCAAAAGAAGAACCAGCTACCAGAACCTGGGAAGATTTGACTGCCACCTTCTGAGAACTTTAATGAAGCAAATTTTCATTTTATCCAGAAACAGGTATTGCTTCAGGTGTTCATCATAATGGTGAATGCAATTCTAGATCAGGCACATATTAGTGCTAGGGACCATAGTATATGTCTCAATAAGATAACCTGGTCTAAATAAGGACCTGTTTAAAATGAGTAGCTATACTTGTCAGAGTATAGTGGTGTACCTATAATCACAGCACAGGACTGCAAATCAAGATACCTAGTGTTTATTCCAACACAGCTAAGATGTCCAGAGTATATAGAAGGTAATGTACATATACTGCGGAACACTAGTCATGAAGAAATGCAAAATCATCATTTGCAGGAAAATAGATGGAATTATAGCTTATGTTGAGATGCCAAGGTTAAAAAGAACAAATATTGCATGTTTTGTTCTCATGTGGAAACTAAACCTAGGATATATCCATTCTTGGGCACATACAAACATAAAGAACCTGACCAAGACAGCTCTTTGGAATGAGGGTAAAGGGAAAAATTAATCATGGTCAATTCAAAGTTAACAGTGCAATCACATGAGACAGCATAAAGATCTGTGAAAGCTGACGAATGACTAAGAGGAAGCTGGGAGAGATACAGATTAAAGTATTAAGCTTGGTTCTCGTGGTTCATGCCTATAACCATAGCTACACACACAGCAGAGGGTTATTCAGCACAATTATATGCATGTCTGAAATACTCGTCAAAGCCCTTGGTTCAGGATAAAACAGGATCTGTATTGTGTGTGCCTGCCATTGGGAGGGAGGAGTCCAGAGAGTAAATATGGTTGAGGATCATATGTATGCACCTATGAGGACAATGAAATGAAGGCAAGGGTGGTATATACATGAATTCACAGTAAAAGCCCTCTTGTACATCCAAGTGTTCGTCCCTCCACTATTCACTGCATAAATACTGTATAGTATTTATACTGTTTGCAAACCTCTGGTGATAGTTCTCTGTACTGCAGAAACACTCGTAGGGTTATGTCCTGAAACCAACATGTTGCCAAGAATGAATTTAAACATGAGGGAGATAGCTTAAAGACAATGTCTGCCCAGGGCCAATGTGTGCGCACGCACACGCGGCCAGAAATGTGGCTTAGTGGAAGAGTGCTTGCCTCGCATGCATGAAGCCCTAGGTTCAATTCCTCAGTGCCTTATCAACAATAAAAGCCAGAAGTGGCACTGTGGCTCTAGCAGCAGAGTTGGCCTTCAGCAGAGTTCAGAAATTAGGGCGCCAAGACTGAATGCCTACAATCATGGCCATAGCCCTAGGTTCCATCACTATCTAGTACTGCAAAGAAAAATGATTTGTAATACTATGGAGACACATGGTACATGTATGTAGCTATCAACAGTTGTTGACTGAGAATCTGTGACTGCTGGGAGACGTAGTGCATGCTGTTCCTATGGGAGCTGCCCATTTTACACAATGCTATTGAGTATTAATTCACAACAATACAAACCACTCTATCAGGGAGGTGCATCCTGAATGATTTCTATCCCTTTTTCCCAGGATTATGAGAACTGAGTTGAGCACACTGTAAGAACTATAGTAAAACCATGACAGGTTTTGTCAGTCTCCACCAAGCCCATTTTGAAGTTATTCAGAATACTATTCACTTGGTTTCTTTCAGCCCCCATTCAGCGACTTCTGATCATAACTGTGTTCTTGTTCCCTGAAGTTCATTTAATAAAGACAGCATCCAGTATTTTTGGGTCAGATTTCAGAATCTTTCCTTATCACAAAACTAGGTAAACTTTTTTTGTGTGTGTGGGAGGGGTGAGGGGGTCCGGTCGTGGGCCTGGGCTCTGCCCCTCAGCTCAAGGCTAGGGCTCTACCACTTGAGCCACAGCTCCACTGCCGGCTTTTTTTTCTGCCTATGTGGTGCTGAGGAATCGAACCCAGGGCCTCATGCATGCAAGACAAGCGCAATACCACTAAGCCACCTCCCCAGCCCACAAAACTAGGCAAATGTTTGTGGCATGGCTTTGTCAATGCATTCTTTTACCAACTTAAGTATTTCTTTGCCCACTAAAAGGTTCCTGCCTGTAAATCTCTATATTACTCTATTTTTTAAATGGTACTGACTTAAAATATACTCTGGGTCCAGAGGCACTAGTCCAGCTCATTTTTCCAACAAGCCAGTTACCCTCATACATTAACAACACAGAGGTTGGCTGATTTCATTCTTTTTTTTTGGGTCTGGTCATGGGGCCTGAACTCTGTCCCTCAGCACTTCAGCTGAAGGCTAGTGCTCTGCCACTTGAGCCACGGCGCCACTTCCGGCTTTTTTCTTTTTTTGCTTATGTGGTGCTAAGGAATCGAACCCAGGTCCTCATGCATACAAGGCAAGCGCTCTACCACTAAGCCACCTTCCCAGCCCCTGATTTCATTCTTTATAACCTGACTCCCATATCTGGACCAAGTCCTGAAACTCAGCTTGCACACAACTGAGGTCTTTTAATTCCCAAAATGGGAAGACAGACCTAAGATATAATCTGCCTAATAGCTAAACAAGGCATTTCCACCTGTTTACTTAAAATTAACATGCCTGTAAAATTCTCCAAATGGGTATGCAAATAACCCAGATATAACAAACTATAACATCTCCTCCAAACCTATTAAGGTGTGCGTGTATGTAGGCTACAGCTGTATAAAGGAGAGATGACCATTGTATTGTTTAGTCTCAATTTACTTGAGGATATTAAAACTTGTCTTAAGCCTGAGCCAGTAGTTCACACTTGTAATCCTAGCTACTCAAGAGGCCAAGATCTGAAGAGCCAGCCAGGTCAGGAAACATTCATAAGACTCTGCTCTCCAATTAATCAGAAAAAGCTGGAAGTGATGCTGTGGCTCAAGTGGTAGAGTGCTCTAACCACCTTGAGCAAGAGGAGCCCAGAGAAAGTGCCAAGGCCCAGAGTTCAAGCACCATGGGACACACACGCACACAAATTGTTTTCTTAGAAAAATAGTGCAAATAGTGCAAAAAAGTACAAATCTCAAAATAAGAAATGCATTGTATCAAGAATTAAACTAGGGAAAGACTAAATAAAAGTAAACCGACACTTTGCAAACTAAGCTGAAATGGCAAATTTTCTCTTCATTTACATTTATTTAAACACAGTTCTCAAAACATTTGAGTGAAATTGGGTCTCCTTTGGTAAGCAAAGGACCTGAAAATAATATTTAAAAAATGAACAGGCAATCAATCATCAGCTCATCCATGACACAGGTGTAGTGTTCCCTTATCTTATACCATACTTTGAAGCACCCAGTTTTAGTTTTTTCATAGTCTAACGCTAGAAGAACAAGAGTACATTTCTGGTGGAATGTAATAACACTCGCTGACAACTAGTTGAAATACCATCATCCTATCCCCTTGTAACAAGCTTCAACAACAGCCTGTAAAGGGCATCCATCTGTAACTCTTCTCTTATTCCCTGCTATACATGTATATATAATACAGATTACGTAAAGGTTGACAAATCCACATTTATATAAGCATTAAGCATTTGCTGTATTGTAATTTTTAACTTCTAATACTAGCAGTACAGAGTTACAGAGCGTTGTTTTTAACAGTTGCAGGTATATTAAATATGGTATGTTTCATGGACTGGAGGAAAACAGGTATTTTGCCTTTAAAATTTACTACTGACAACTTATTCTGGTTTTTCCTAAGCATTGATATATTAGAAAGAAAAGTAAAAATCAAACTGTTTATTGTTGCTTTTTGCCATTTGGTAACATTTTACACACAGGCTTCGATCTTCAGAATACCCTGGATTCAGTAGAAAAACCTTTTAAATGAAGTTTTGTACAATAGAAACTTCTTAGCAGTCAAAATTTAGACTGTAAAAAAATACATGCAAAACATACTTTTCTGAAAACACTTAACTTTGAACTTGAACAAAGCACCAAACTACACAAATGCAGAATGAAAACAGCATTTCAACTCCACCAAAAGTAGTCATCATAAAAGGTGTAAAAGTCACCTAACTCCACTAGGCACTGTTCACTTTTTAAACAGGAGACAATAAAAAATATTGTCAACAAACAATATTCCAGCTCTATGGCAGGTTTCAGAAACTTTCCAACTTCATGCTCTAATAACGACCTGAAAAAGATAAAAATAAACATATAATGTAATGCTAGCGGATTCCAAACCTATGTTAATGCTAAAAACTATTCTACCACTTGGAAATGCCTATGTAGTAAGATTCTGTTCTATGAAAAAATGCCAAGTGTGAAGGCTAGAAAACCTTAGATACTAGATAACCAATGTTAATAGATGTGGTTGGACAGGAGGAAATGTACTGTGTAAGAGATACTCAGGTTTTAAAGCAGGCAGATATTTTCAAACTCTTCACAATTGGCAAGAACTCATAATAGCCACAATATACTGTACTTGCTTTGTATCAAAGAGTAATACTTCATTCACAGGTGTGGGGACACAGTAGATTAAGGTGGCTCATGCCTGTAATCCTAGCTAATAGGAAGGTTGAGAAGCCAAGGATTATGGTCTGAGGGTAGTAGCACATGTAGAAAAATTAATGAGGTCTTGTCAATCCTTAGCTGGCTGCCATGGCAATCACTCACCATATCTGAACTTTGTAGATGCTAACATAGCCCCAAGGAGAAAAGTGACAAGACTGTGTTATTACACACCCATCATACCAGTTTGAACAAGAAGTCAGACCTTATCTCAAAAACTAACCAGCACAAAAAGAGGTGGAGGCATGGCTCAGTAGCAGAGCATCTACCCAGGAGCATGGGCTACCTTTCCTCAAAGGCTAACCTTACTCAAATCACACAAACATAGATATAGCTACTCGAATTACTTGTAGTAACTTAACCTATCTGTACTTCGGAAAAACCGATCAATAATAAAAACTTACGTGGCGAATAAGATCTAGATCGAGAACGTGACCTATATCCTCCTCGACTGTAGTAAGGAGAAGGTGACCTTCTTCTGCAAACAAATAAGAAGATAATCTAAGTCTACAGATCATAATTAGACTAAAGGACAAACTAGAAGGCAACTTTTGCATTTGTCATGGTACCTCAGGATCTGATTAAGCATTAAGAATGAAGAATATTATTGGCCACTAGAACCACTCTTAAATTATTTCCTTGCTATTATATTATTATTTAGCAATTTGTATTTTTAAAATTCTATGAAGTATTTAAAAGAAAAATGCCACCAATTCCAATGTATTAACACTGAAAACAGACTTTTACTAGTTTTAAGTAATTTGGTTTTGTGTAACTGTTTATTGAAATGTTTATCAAGTAGTAACAAAATTTAAGAACAAGAAACCGTTGTTTATTTTCTAGCTACACAGATAATTACAATTTGGAGATAGTCAGGAGACAAACTCTTGAGTCTCTTAACTAACCAACAAGCAAAAAAGCTAGAAGTAAATGTATGGCTCAAGTGACAACAACGGTCACAAGAGAAATTTGAGAATGCAAAGCCCAGATTTTCAAGTTCCAGTCTTCAATTAATATGTCTTATAGATTAACTGGAGGGGAGGTGGATGGGTTTTTGGCTCAAGGAGTAGATACATATACATGCCCAAGTGGAAACATGCTCTTTACCCTGAATTTCAACACCAGTTATGTGTGCTCATTTGTTTCCAAGGACCAATTATTCCTCTCACCAAATCTCATTAAAATTTATTTTAAAAAACCAAACAAAAACCTGTTGTCAAGCCTAGTATTCTGCCTTTGAGAAGCTAGAATTTGGGAGTTTGGGCAGACAATTTTAAGACCAAAATCTCCCATTAGCAAGTGAGAAAACAGCAGCCTTAAGAGACTAAACATGTGAGGTCTGGATTTGAGCCCTAAGTACTAACACAAATATTTCAAAGCCCTGCTTGATAGTGTCTTAGCTTCAAACTGGTATCTTGTATAATTTTATGGACTACAGAAATCCAATGTTAATGTGTGGCTCTAAGTCAGTTACCAATTAGTTAGTAGACCTCTTTTTGTGAAACTGCTTCCAGATTTTAATTCTAAACCTGGCATACCTGTAAATTTGATCCCGGTCTTGTGCAGCTCTCCATCCACCTCCTCCTCCACCTCCTCCCCTGTGATACAGAAAAACAAAATTGAAGTTATGAAGAAAACCCCCACAAGGAACAAATGAACCCTACATTCTTGGAGGAAACAATAAAGAGTTCACTTTGCCACCCTACATTTTTAGAAAAGGGCAAAGAACTTTCTGTGGTGGCTAAAACTTCTATCATCAAAACAAAAAAATAATTTCTAAGTAAGTCCAAGTATATTAAAAACAATTCAATCCCTTAGTGCTACTTAGTGCAACACTTCAATTTTTTGTAATTACAATCACAGCAATGTGAAAAGTATATAAAAGACTTACCACTGCTTCCATAATCATCAAAATAGTATGTAAAAAAACCCAAAACCAAACCAAACAAACAAAAGCAAAGTGGTGGCTCACATCTGTAACCCTAGCTACCCAGGAGACTGAGATCTGAGGATCAGTTTGACACCAGCCAGGGCAGCAAAGTCTGAGAGACTCTTATGTACCACTAACTATCAAAAGGCCAGAAGTGGAACTGTGGCTCAAAGTGGTCAAGTGATAGCCTTGAGAGAAAAAAAAAAGCTCAGAGACAGTGCCCAGGCTGAGTTCAAGTCCAATGACTTGACAAAAACTAAAAAACCCTGTACACTTCCATGCTTCAGCAAGCTATCCAGAAAAATCCACAATTACCTAAAACAGTTTCAAGTATCCAGAGATACAATAAAATAAAGCCCTCTCTCCCACCTCTGCTGGTGAATCAATCCCAGAGCCCAAGGATAAGCAGATGCTCTTCTGTTAAAACCTTACAACATGAAGCCTGTTGCTGGTAGCTACACAGGAAGATGATATCTGAAGCCAGCCTAAACAAAAGTCCCTGAGATCCTCACTTCCAACTACCAAAAAGCTGAAAGTAAAGCTTGATCGAAAAAGCTATGAGATGGCACACAGGCCCTGACTTCAAGCTCCACCATCAGCATCAAAACAAAGAAGTCACAAGCGTTTAGATAATCAACCCTTGTATATAACTTACCTGTATGACCTGCTGTAGTAATCCCGATCATCATATCCTCGATCATAGCCTCTGTCATAATAATCACGGCGACGTGAGCTGCCACTATAAATAAAATATTATCTTTAAAAAACAATTTTGAGTGGTCTATTTCCCTGGATGACTCTTTGCTATTAAAAACTGGTTCAAGTCTCTTTCCCAGCTCTCTTCTCTTTCCCACCTCTCTTTCCCAGGCCTTTGACAGCCACATGGAAGGCCAACCTGGCCTGGTGCCAGCAGGTCTACTGAATAAACCTACCCCTTACCTGGGGGGGGGGGGGGGGGGGGGGGGGGGGGGGGAATGGTTCAAGACACATAAAGGGGCAACACTATGTAATATGAGGTCCTTCAAGTTTTACGGGTACTATAATAGCCAAGCTTCATAGACATGACTAGGACATATATTTCTTTTAATATGCTGGACAAATATGGGGATTTCTCCTAGAAGGTCTTTTCTGATGTTAAATGAAAAAGATTATTTCTACTATAACTCTTACAATATTAAACAAAAATATTTTATGTTGAAGAATAAATCCTGATTTGCTTCTAATTTAAAGGCTACTCACTAAAAGCCAATCAATTCACTAATTCCATACATTTTCCAGAGAAAAGATAAAAACAAACAGAAACAACAAAAAACCTTTAGAGTATGGTGTGGGATGTGGGTTCAGCTTATTAAAAGAGAATATAGCAACCTTGGCATAGAATGATGCTTTACTGTATATGAAAACATTACATTTCAACTATAGCCTGAATTCAACTTTTCCATCAACGTACACTGCATATTTGATGGATCATAACAATAACCATGCTTTCATAGTTCAGAATAGCCAAAGCCTGATTCCTACCGTTTAAAACATTAAACAGGCACAACTAAGATTATACACAAGCCAGGCGGCGCCAGTGGCTCACACTTGTAATCCTAGCTACTCAGGAGGCTGAGATCTGAGGATCGTGGTCCAAAGCTAGCCAGGGCAGGAAAGTCCATGAGACTTATCTCCAATAAACCATTAGAAAACTAGAAGTGGCATTGTGGCTCAAGTGGTAGAGTGCTCACCTTGACTAAAGAGGGCAGGGACAGAGCCCAAGCCCAGAGTTCAAGCCCCACAACCGACCGGAAAAAAAGCTTTATATACATCATGCCAGTTTGTTCATAATGCAAATAACAGGCATGATAGTAAAAGCAATAAACTCTACCCAGCAAAACTAAAATTTATCTATGACAGTGAAGTAGGAAGGAAATGACTTAAAGCTGTAGAGCAAAACTTAAACTTTAATTTCAATGCAGAAGCACACTTGTAATCCCAGTACTTAGGAGGCTGAAGCAGGAAGACTGGATTGTTTAAGGCCAGTGTGGCTTTATATAACATATTTTCCCCTGGTGGTACTGGGGTTTGAACATCTTAAGGCTTGCTTAGCTGCTGCCATACAATGTGATCCATGCCTACAGCCCAAGTTTTTTTTTTTTTGCAAATTATTTTGGAAGTGGAATTGCAATATATTTTTCTGCCTGGCTGACTTAAAGCTGAGATCTTCTGGATGTCAGCCTATCTTATAGGTAAGATTGCAGGTATAAACCAGTAGTACCTAGCCTAAGCAGGTACTTAACTTAGTTAAGAAGATATGAAAAACTAACAGTACATTCAGTCAATATGACAAAGACTATCCAATGTAAAAACTAAATGGTTTTCACCTTAAAAAAAGAAACTTACTAGGTAGGTCTTCCCATGTAAATTCCTGGTGTTGGGGTATGTGGTCTCTTTGTTATAGAGAAATCAACTCTTATCCTACGTCCATCGAGTTCCATTCCATTGGCACGTTCTTTAGCCTTTAAAAGATAAACAAATGGTTACACACATCCTGAACAAAGCCACTACTTACCCTGAAGCTGTTAAATAATGCCTGGCTGGACATTTCAGTCAATTATATCCTGTGACGTAATTTTCAAAATGTTTTCTAAAACACCATCTAAATACAGAAAGTTTCTTGCCCTCTGTGTATCACCTTTAAAATAACAACAGGGGTTGGGAAAGTGGCTCAGTGGTAGTGTGCCTCTCATGCATGAGGCCCTGGGTTCGATTTCTCAGCACCACATAAGCAGAAAAATCCAGAAGTGGCACTGTGGCTCAAGTGGTGGAGTGCTAGCCTTGAGCTGAAGAGTTGAGGGACAGTGTCCAGGCCCAGAGTTCAGGCCTCACGACCAACAAAAAAATAAAAAATAACAACAAAAGCTTACTGACCACCAATCAAGTATTTATTTGTGCCTGGGTTGACTTTGAACCATGATCCTCAGATCTTAGCCTCCTGAGTAGCTAGGATTACAGGTGTGAACCACAGATGCTGCCCAAGTATTTATTTTTAAATGAAAACTCACCAAAACAAAAAAAAAAAAAAAAAAAAAAACTAAAGCTGGGTGCTAGTGGTGGCTTATCCCTAAAACCCTAGCTACTCAAGAGACTTGAGATCTGAGGATTGCTGTTCCAAGTCAGCCCAGGAAGCCAAGTCTGTAAGACTATTATCTCCAATTAACTACTAAAAAGCAAGAAATAGTGCTGTGGTTCTAAGTGGTAGAACACAAAAGCCCACAGGCCTTGATTTCAAGCCCCCAAAACAAACAACACTAAAATAATTGTATAAAATAGTTAAAGCCATTATAACTAATCACAAACTTGGCAAGTGTGACCAGGCTCTAGTGTAGCTCACATTTGGAATCCTAGCTACTTAGGAGGCTAAGGTCTGAAGATCACAGTTCTAAGCCAGCCGGGGCAGAAAAGTCTGAGAGTCTCACCTCCAATTAACCAGGAAAATGCAGGAATTGGAGGTGTAGCTCAAGTGGTAAGAGAAAAATACTCCAGTACCAGCAAAAAATTTAAAAATCCTATGCAGAATGCTTTGACTTTTCTATACCATTTGAGGACCATTTTAAGAACCTAAATAGAAATATAGCCTCTAATTACAATATTATTTTATCCTTTATTTAGACATTCATTTAGACTTTGTTTCTGGTCCTGTAATTAAAGTGAAACTCTAAAGCCTGTATTATCAGCACCCTAGGGCAAATATATCTTCTAACATTCAACTGAACTACAAGACCATCTATTATATTTAATTGCATCTTTTTGATTTTCCTATAGAGTTACTGAATAATTTTACCCACAGTTCAATTACTAAGGTTTTGCCATTAACTGTCAGGTTTTCCTCTTCCTTAAAGTCTAAAATGTACATAATATATCTTTTAACATACCAAATGATAACATTCTACATCTTGCTTCAAAGTTACAATCCAAATATTTAAAATCACATTTGCCAATACTTTTAAAAGACAAATTCAATTTTGAACCTGCAACTTATTTTCCATTCTAGAATACATCTCAATGTATTCTAAATCAGAGAATTACCAATACTTGTTTTCATTAGACATGCCACATTATTAAAACAGTGCTATATTGTTTTGCATAGATATGAAATTTTCCACTAAAGTAGAAACAAGTCCAAAATCCTATTGGATTCAACATAAACTCACAAGATATACTATAGTTGACTATTGTATTTATCCAATACAAGCAATATCTGTCCTTTTCCAAGTTCCTGGATGCTATTACAGTACAAGACTGATGCTTTTAACCAACATACAGACAGACAAAAGGCAACTTTTACTTGCCTCCTTGGCATCATCTACATTTTCGAAATACACAAAGGCAAATCCTCTAGAACGCCTGGACTGCTGGTCATACACAATGGACACATCAGCAATGGGGCCATATTTAGAGAACACTTCTCGGAGATCTCTTTCAGTGGTGTACAAGCTCAAACCAAACACGCCAAGACAACAGTTGGGATCAGGATTTGCCTGGAAATGGAAAACGTGGATTCTAAAATTATGAAAATCTGTCACAAGTCATGGTTCATAAGAAACTGTAATTATAAAACATACAAGAATGAGCAGAATAAAAGACTGAGTTCACATTAAAATTAATTAACTGGGTGTGTTAGTGAAAAGATTAATGAAAAAAAACCTGGTACTCTGGAAATTAGAGACAATTTGGATATTTTATCCAAGAACTTAATTGTATAAAAAATTCACAATATGAAAATAATCAGAATACAATCTTTATCAGCCAGAAATAAATCCTGGATATTGAATTGGCCTATCACCCATACAGTTAACTGCCTAAAAGCTAATAGATAACATGCAGTTCAATTTTATTTCTTAGGGACTCCCCAACTCCAGTGGATGCAAGAAAATCAAATGGTGAACATCCAAGCACAGCAAGCACCAGGCCAAATTTGAAACTCCAGTACCAACAAAAACTGAAAAAGGAAAATCAGATAGTAGGGCTGGGGGAGAGCTCAAGTAGTAGGCTGCCTGCATAGCAAACAGGCAAGCTTTGAGCTCAAAGTTCCAAACACCAAAAACTAGACATAATCCACCCTAGAGTTGTCCCTTTATACTCAGGGGACTACTTCCAGGACCCCTACAAACACTAAAAAACCCGGCGCCCGTGGTTCACGCCTGTAATCCTAGCCACTCAGGAGGCTGAGATCTGAGGATCGCAGTTCAAAGCCAGCCCGGGCAGGAAAGTCCATGAGACTCTTATCTCCAATAAACCACCAGAAAACCAGAAGTGGTGCTGTGGCTCAAGTAGTAGAGCACCCGTCTTGAGCTTAAGAGGGCAGCGCCCAAGCCCAGAGTTCAAGCCCCACGACCGACTAAAAAAAACAAAACAAAAAAATCAGTGGCTGCTTCAGTCTTACATTGTTCCTACAGTGACTTATTTGCATGTAACCTATGAACATGCTCTAGAATAATAATGTCACTCTAAGAACTCTAAATATATATACATTAGAGATTCACTGTATGCTTACCATTAACTCCCTGTCACAAAAAAACAACTCTCTCCATTATATTACAATGTCTAGTATAATAATTATGATAGAATTTTAAGCGTATCAATACATGGATAGATACCTGGAACTTCAATGGGGAGAGAAAACAGGGATTACTTGTTTTAAAAATAAACCACACAGCCGGGCACTGGTGGCTCACTGGTGGCTCACGCCTGTAATCCTAGCTACTCAGGAGGCTGAGATCTGAGGATCGCGGGACAAAGCCAAGCCCGGGCAGTAGAGACGGTGGTAGAGCTCTCGCCTTGAGCTGAAGAGCTGAGAGACAGCGCCCAGACCCAGAGTTCAAGCCCCACAACCGACAAAAATAAATAAATAAATAAAATAAAATAAACCACACAGCACATGATCTCCCAAATATGTGGATAATTAAATTCAAAATGCAAGAAGATACAACAAAGTAAACAGGACCCAAGAAACAAAAAATTAATAAAGCACAGATCGCCAACTGTCCAACTATAATGAATTGATCTAAAGGTTTCCATTTCATATACTAATAATTTCCTAGGGAGAATTATATTCCAATTTAAGAATCTAAGCCCCATGTCCCCTCTTAGATGATACAATATAGGCACATTAACTATCATCTCATTTGACATCTCTCCTGAAAATGTTAGGAGGTCATGTCAAATTCAGGGAAAGCCCCAAAAGCACGAATGTTAAGTGTGGAACCATGTATGTAATAAGAATGTGCTAATAATAAATAGCAATGAATAGGAATTTACTTTTTTAGTCTGATGGACCAAGTTTTCTCAGTGTGTATTATGCCCAAGTGATATCCCAAATGTAATTCATCATGAGGGAGAGTATTAATTTAAAAAGACAATTCTAAATGCCAAAAAACCTCCAAAGATTTTTATTGGTAAAACTGTCAGTTTTAAGTAAAAGGAGTAGGACCAAATAGTCCATCCATCCATTGCTTCAAAGTTTTTCACCTCACCCGATTCCCAACATGACGCCTTCGAGTAGACATAGGAGAATGGCTGTGGCTGTGCCGTCTGCGATAATCTCGACTGTAAGACCTGCTACGGGAACGTCTATGGGAGCGGGATCGAGACCGTGACCTTGTATAATGCCTCCGAGAACTTCTTCTAGATCTAGACCTGAAAGACAAAGGCTCCAAAGTCTGTGCATAATTGAAATAAGACATAGCTATCCTTTCATTACTCTAGAGTTGAACTGCAAAAGGACCTAACCCTGTTACTATCATGGTTACCAAGATAAATCTTTATTCTTGAATTAATCATTTCTACCTTGTTTGAACTGTCAAAACTACCAACATGCTGGGAAGGTGGCTCAGTGGAAGAGCGCTTGCCTTGCATGCCTGAGGCCCTGGATTCGATTCCTCAGCACCACATAAGCAAAAAGAAAAAAGCCACAAGTGGCACTGTGGCTCAAGTGGTAGAGCGCTAGCCTTGAGCTGAAGAGCTGAGGGACAGTGCCCAGGCCCAGAGTTCAGGCCCCACAACTGGACCCCCCCGCCCCCCGCAAAAAAAAAACTACCAACATACCCAACATTTAAATTAATACAAAGGAAAAATGCTTTTTTCTTTGTGTGTGTGGGGGGGGGGGTGAGCTTTTCTGTTCAAGGCTAGTGTTCTACCACTTGAGCCACAGCTCTACTGGGGGGGGGGGGGGTTAACTGGGGGGGAGGGGGGGGAGAGTCTTGGACTTTTTCCTGTCTGAGACAGCTTCAAACACGATCCTTGCATACAGCACTTTACTTTTGATTATGCCCATCTTTCTATCTCACAATACTACCCCTCAGTTTTATGTTTCCCATTACTCTCACCATTCATTTAACATGGTAACTGAATCATAGCAGCTAGTTTTCCCAAAAATGTGTGGCTCTTGAACTATATAAAGCCATCATTTAATAAGATGCATTGAAAAAATGATTGTTAATTATGCCTGACAAACATAAGAATTTTGTCCTAGGCAATCCAGCATGCACAGAGCTCTCCCAACTAACATTAACAAAAAAAGCATAGAATATTAAGGTATCACTTGTTCTACACATTAAACCACACCTATTTACATAATAAGTTATTGAAGCCATTTACTAATACTAATAGTGCATTTTCACAACTCTGAGTTATTTGTACTCACTTTACATAGATAAAAAGGTACAAGGTTGGAAAATTGCTAGTCAGCAAAAAAGGTAAGACATGAAAGAAAATAGATTCATTATGAGTGCTAGTGTTAAAAAACAAAAAGTGATAATATACTCTTTACCTGCCAAGTCTACAAACCACATACCAACTTCAAAGCTAAGGGAAACAAGAAAATCACAGGATAATCTTTCTTACCTAGATTCAGATCTGGACCTTGACTTTGATCTTGAGCGCCTGGAGTCTTCCTTGGAGCGAGACCTTGCAGGGGTATGCCTTGCAGACTTCCCCGATCCATGTGCACTTCCACTTCTGGAAGCAGAACGGGATTCCTACACGCAGAGTCAAAAGTTTAATTTGTATACTTTGTGGGAGACTTTAGAAACAAATAAGCTGCTGTGAGATAAATTGTGAGGGAGAGCAATCCTCTTCCAAAAAGACAAGAAAACATAGGTAAGGGCAAGAATTGAATGTACTTGATGTAACAGTTTCATTGTTTCAACTACCATAGTCAATTTGTCTTTTCTTTTACCTTTCTGGAACAGGGATAAGTTATCTAACCCTACTCTCTTAAAAAGGGATGCCAAAGACAAGGAACTATCAAGGATTGTACTTTGAGGCTATTACTTCATAAATACGGAAGATAAAGAACTCTGAAGCCTATACTTTGTAACTACTTCAGTCAAGTCCCAATCAAAACAAAAATCCTACAAAATGTACAAACTTCAATGCTCTTGATCTTTTCCAAAAGACCTCAAAATTTCAAGTTGTATCATTTATTGCCGAATAAAGAAAAAAAGATTAATTTCCATTTGAGTCCTAAAAGTAGAAGCCTAGTGAAAAGCCAGGACCAGCTAAATAGATTCACACTTCTAAGACCTTAACTTCATCTAGCCATGGTAAGAAGCTCCTATGAAACTCAAAACAATCAATCAGATGAAGCTACAAAGGCAGTGAACCATATAGAGGTTAAGAGTTAGAGGGGGTATGAAAGAGCCACATTTTTCTCAAAAGGACACATTTCAATCAGAGAAAGACTTTTAATCAGAGGCTCTAAATCAGAGGCTCTGGCAGGAAAAAATTTCAGCAAAAAGCATTGTCAAGGTAAATACTATGCACTTACACCTTTCTTAATCAGTCAAAACTACCTAATTAGAAGGCAAGTTACACAGAAGAAATCAAAGGACCAGTTAAAGAAGAGGATTGTTTTTAAAAAGGCATGAGATCCAGAGAATTTCCAACCCAAGATGTGGGAGAAATGGCTGGCCTAAAAACAGAAGCAAATAATACAATGTAAAGTCGGTATAAAGGCTTTTTTTTCTTCCTTTTTTAAAGTTGAAGCTTCCAAGTACAAGTTTTTACAAGAGATCTCCCCTGTTATGGTAGATCCCTGAACATTACTGGCATTTTAAAATTAAGAGTAAGATTGTTTTAAATAATAGTCCTCAAAACATTATAGAAGATAAACTTGTGATTTAAATAATTAAGAAAATTCAGTCATTCTATAATGCTCAGATTTAAAACTTTTTTTTTAGTCGGTCATGGGGCTTCTACTCTGGGCCTGGGAACTGTTTCCTCCAACCCCCAAACTTTTCTGCTCAAGAACAGCACTCTATCACTTTAAGCCACTGATCCACTTGTGGGTTTTCTGGCAGTTAACTGGATATGAGTCTCATGAACTTTTCCTGCTCTGGCTAGCTTTGAACCTCAATTCTTAGATCTTAGCCTCCTGAGTAATGATTATTGGCATGAGCCACCAGGGCCCACTTACAAACTTCCACAATTTCTATACAACATAGTTAATGAGAAACTAAAGATTAACATTTACTAAAACAAAAATTTAACAGCCAGAAAAAGGAATTTGGCTCTCCAGGCTGTCAACAACTAGACTTACTTAAAATCACTATGAATTGTGATACAAAGTGACAGGAAATGTACTAGTCTTTTCCTTTCTACCAGACTCTTCACATCAATGAATATATAGATTAAAAAAGAAATGTACCTTTATTTTTCAATTAGTGAAAACAGCTGCCTTTTTAACTTCAAGAAAGAAATGACTGGCTGGGAATGTTGCTTAGTGGTAGAGTGCTTGCCTAGCATAAATGAGGCCCTACTGGGTTCAATTCCTCAGTACTACATACACAGAAAAACCCAGAAGTGATTAGTGATTGCTGTGGCTCAAGTGGTAGAGTGCTAGCCTTGAGAAAAAGAAGCTCAGGGTCAGAGAGCCCAGGCCTTCAGTTCAAGCCCCAGGACAAGCAAAAAAAAAAAAAGGGGGGGGGGGGGGGAGAAATGGCTAAAAGATATGGTCTTCGATTCCTCTCTTAAATGCTCAGCCTAAAATTTTAGAAAGGCAATTTGTCTCCTTTCTCTCCTTGAACATAAAAACTGATCAGCAACAAGGAAGCTTCTATAATTTTACAACAGGCAAAAACTAATCTATAAGAGGAAATCAGGAACTCAAAAGTTAACTGTCTCATGTGTTTAGAAAGATTTCTTCACAGTATGTTTGTACCACAGAATTATAACTTTAGTAAAACCAAATAAAGCAATTTGCTCAAGGAAGAGAGCAGATGTCTGCCTTTAAATAACGGAAGATTAAGAAAATGGTAAGCAGAAAACTAGCCTAACCAATTAGTATAGTAAAAAATTCAATAGTTCTCTTTTAAGCCTTTAAGTTAACAGAAGTCTTATTCCAAACTGAAATGTTTCAAACTATCCTAAAAAGAGAAACAGTATTCATATTCTAGGAAACAAACCTTAATGAGATCTCCTCTTAAAATTCTAGCAGAACAACAATGATACAGTATTTGCAAAATCTTAAGAGCTGATTCAGGCCCCAAATCTAACAGGTTATATTGTTGAATTCTGTGAGCAGTTGTTAGGCCAGAAATATAAGGGGAAAAAATATGTACTGCTACACAGACTTGTAAAATATTTCATATAACCTGTATTTTCTTGTCAAGATTTCAAAAGCCTAAGACATTTCAGAGTTCTGATGTCCTTAAGCTGAAAATACAGGAATTTACTTGTCTAGAAGAAATCAGACCCCACAGAGATAAGCCAAAAAACAAAGTACAACATTAACTTTAAATCTCAATGTATAGCCAGATCTCTAAAACCAGCTCACTGAGAAAGCCCCTATAAGCAATTACACTTCACATTCTAAAGAACACTCTGGACACCAATGCCTAAGGACTCAGACTTTAAGTTAGCATGAGTGAAATAAAGCCACAAACTCCTCTAAAACTGCTCATTTTTATTAATGAATCCTAGTCCTCCACTAATACAAAGGACTCAAGTCAAACAAACAAACAAACAAAAAAAACCTTTCTAAGATAGTATCTTAATCTACAGGCTCCCTATTTTAAGTACTAATATCAGAACTTATTTGAAAAATGGTAAGCAGAGATAACCATCAATTTCCTTTTACAAACTAGACGTACTAGATAGAATGAGAACAGCAGCACAAAGAGGCTTGCACTAAAATCTCTTCAATATTTTATAATACAGAGTTCTCTTTAATAGGACTGGTGTGGGGAATCTGCCCCTTTCTTAAACTCAAAGTATGTGATGCTTGTTAAGCCTCATCAACCCTACTTCAGAAGTATTTGATTTTCTTCCCTTAGCAAAAACATCTTGGAGCTTTATTTCTATCATCGTCCCTGCTCTTCTTGCCCCAGAATTTATCAGCCCATTATCAATTTCCTGTACTGCTGCCCATGTGGGAAACAAAGTTCTGTATCTACCCTTCCTGCAATGTTCCAGGAAGGAAAAACAAAAAAATGTATGAGGTCTATTAGTGAGCATCAACATGATTTTTTTTAGCCTTTACCACTCTGGACCATATAATCAGATGCCAAATACCTTCTTCCGCTTGGGGAGGCTAAAAAGTGTCCATTAATATAACTTCAGCCTGTCTTTTTGAATAATTTAAGGAATGAAAAATTAGCTTTCATGTATTATTGGGTTATTGTGTTACAAAGTAACAACTCAGGTAGAGTGAATACAAAACCTATCAAGAGAAATGAGTTTCTTCTGCTGGCAAAGTACAGAAACACAGAAAAACAAAATATATTCTACACCTTGACATTAAGTCTTAAGTATAGAAAGTTGTATCTTTACACCCTTCAAAAATTTATTTCACTTCTCTAGAGCTTTAAGATCTGAAAATTCTCAGGTTTTAAAAAGCGGTCATGGAGCTGAGAGCTGGTGCTGCTACTGTTAGCTACCCAGGAAGCTGAGGATCATGGTTCAAAGCAGGGAGGAAAAGTCTGATACAGCCACCAAAAAGCCAGAGTGAAAAAGGCGGAGACAATGCTCAGGACCTGAGTTCAAGCCTCAGTACAGGCATGTAAGTAAATAGTAAAGTTAAGATAAAGCACTACAGTTGTATCTCAAAGCTAACTTCTAATCCCCTCAACTGACAGTCTTCATTTTAGAAAGAGGACAAACCTTGGCCTCTTCCGAGTTAAAGCCAACTGTTGGCTACTGCTGGACGTTATTGGATGTGTTCCGTTCAACCCAGGGTAACAACATTTCTACCTGACTCTTCCTACAAAGCTAAAATGAAACAGAAAGGAAAACTGAGCCTTCAGTTTCATTTTTTTCCAGCAAGTGGGAGGGAGTTAAGGACGACAAGCTAGAATGAACTATTTTATGATCTACTTTTTAGTATACTAGCTAAATGCTGATAGTAAAGAAGAAAAGGAACATACCAGGTATTAGTAATCTATCTGAATTAGCTACTCTCTTCACTTTTATGAGGACCACCTCTTCTAAGGGAAGTTACAGAACTTTAAAGAGATCTTAGTCATTTATCTCAAACACGTAACCAGAAACAGCACATCAGGGCCTAAATGGCCACAGCTTTCAACTAATGCCATTTGGGAGGGGGAATGTTTTCATTCCAAAAGAAGCTACCCAAGTTTGATGCTTTGCTTGAATTTTGGGGTTATATCCATAACCATCCTCAATAGTACTCTAAAAAATCCTGGCAGAAAACATTCTACTATACACTATCCAATACTGAACAAGGAAAGTCAGTATAAGCTAATCTCAAAATCCCAAGGGGTGGCAGAGACCACCAATTCCAACTTGAGATACTCAGGCCCCAGACCAGCAGTTTGACAGATGAACCATCTAGGGGACAAGTCAACTATCTCCCATGCTGAAGAGTGCACTGCTGCCTGGTATGGTATTTGACCAAGAAGGTTATTTTTAAAGAATTGCATTTCAATCATTTGACTAGGCAGTTAAAATTAGAATTACCTAATTTAAACGTTTCCCTTGGAAGGCACTTCTTTACCCTGTATATATTTTCTTCTATTAA